GGTTTTTTACCCACAAAAGCTTATGCCCAAATAAATCTGTTAATCTTTAAGGTGCCACCAGACTCCTTGTTTTTGTAGATACAGACTAACACAGCTATCCCTCTGATTTTACAGTGTTTCTTGCCCTTTCACACAGGACCAGGGAGGAACAGAGGTCTCCTTCCTTGAGATTGCAGTACATATAGTGCTGAGCTCAGCTAGCCCCCATATCCTCCCCCTTCTCATCCTTCCTGTGTCTTCTTTTATATCTCCTCAGATGATGGGTAACTGGTTCATCAGCCTTCCCATCGTGATCAGCTAATTAGCTGCAGATCACCAATCAGCTTTCTCCAGGGGACCTGACTGGTGCCTAAATGATCAGAGTGCTGGCTTACCTTTAGCTTCCAGCACTCTGTCACAGAAAACATAGTACCTATCTTTAAAAGGCTGATAAAGAGGACCCGGGGAATTATAGACTAGTCAGCCTAACTTCAATACTTTTGGAAAGATACTGGAACAAATTATTAAACCATTTCTAAGCTTCTAGAGGATAATAGTGTTATAAGTAATAGCCAGCATGAATTTTTCAGGAACAAATCATACCAAACCAATCTAATTTTCTTCTCTGACAGAGTTACTGGCATAGTGGATGGGGAGAAGCAGTAAATATAACTTTATTTTTGTAAGGCTTTTGACAGTCCTACATGACACTCTCATAAGCAAACGAGGGAAATTTGGTCTAAATGAAATTACTATAAGAGGAGTGCAAAATTGGTTGAAAGATGGTACTCAAAGAGTAGTTTTCAAGGGTTCACTGTCAAACTGGGAGGTCATATTTACTGGGGTCCCACAGGGGTCACTCCTAAGTCCAATACTAGTCAATATTTTTATTAATGACTTGGTAATAGAGTGGAGAGTATGCTTATAAAATATGCAGATGACATGAAGCTAGAGGGGCTGCAAGCACTTTGGAGGATAAAATTAGAATTCCAAATGATGTTGACAAATTAGAGAATTGATCTGAAATCAATAAGATGAAAATCAAGAAAGACAAGTACAAAGAACTACACTCTAGGAAGGAAAAATCAAATGCACAACTACAAAATGGGAACTAGTTGGCTAGATGGTAGTACTGCTGAAAAGGATCTGGGGGTTATGGTGGATCAAAACTGAATGTGAGTCAACAAAGTGAGGCAGTTGCAAAAAAAGTTAATATCATTCTTGGGTGTATTACCACGAGTGTTGTATGTTAAGACATAGGAGCTGACTGTCCTATTCTGCTCAGCACTAAAGAGGCCTCAGCTGGAGGACTGTGTCCAATTCTGCGCATCACATTTTAGGAAAGATGTGGACAAACAAACTCAAGAGAGTCCAGCAGAAAGCAACACAAATGATGAAAGATTAAGAAAACCCAACCTATGAGGAAAAGTTAAAAAAAAACTGGGCCTGTTTAGTCTTGAGAAAAGAAGACTGAGGGTGAATCTGATAAAAGTCTTCAAATATGTTTAGGGCTGTTATAAAGAGGATGGTGATCAATTGTTCTCCATGTCCATTGAAGGCAGAACTAGTAGTAATGGGTTTAATCCGCAGCAAGGGAGATTTATGTTAGCTATTAGGAGAAACTTTCCAATTATAAGGATAATTAAGAGCTGGAACAGGCTTCCAAGGAAGCTGTGGAATCCCATCATTGGAGGTTTTTATGAACAGTTTAGACAAACACCTGTTAGGGATCGTCTAGGTTTACTTGGTCCTGTCTCAGCACAAGGAGCTGGACCTGATGACCTCTCAAGGTCATCTAGTCCAGCCCTACATTTCTATGATTCTGTGCTACATATGACCAGAATACAATATATTCATAGTACACTGTGATATACAACATGCAGCATCTTCAAGCAAATGGTTGGATGGAGCTTTTTAAATCCAGACACTTTTCTCAGACCCTTTCACTAGATCTGATATTGCTACAAAACCTCCTAAACTATCAAGCATATTAAAACAGTTGGGGGATTCAGCAGGTGGTGGTGTGTTACTGCAGATCACTAACCTAAGGGGGGGCTGTGCCTCTGGACATGCTATCTACATCTTGTGGATGAAAAGTAAAACGGATTATGAAGATCCTTTGACATTTTTGGCAAGAGTTGGGATCTTAACTTTTGTGTTTATCCTGGCCAAATTCTATCTCTGGTATTTAACATTGTAAGAAAATACTACAGTATTCTGATATAAGGCTCCAAAACACTGCAGCTGACAATAATGTATATTACAGTATTTGGGTGCATGGCACACCATAGTATTTTTTAAAATGGCATATACTATCTGCTTAAATCCCCCTTGTAGCTTCAGTTAGATGCAGTATTTTCCTTAACTTCCTCGTCATAAACACTTTTGTGCTGTTGCTAGTCTCTGTTAAGTAGCTGCTGTGTGTTGCCCCAGAGGTTTCAGTGATGGGTGAAGTGATTGTGCGTGTGCTATAGTGTAATTTATAATCAATTTAAAATTTCAAAATGGTTTGAGATCCTTCAGAATGAATATATCTGTGGTCTCAGTGGGTTGTAGCTCATTCGCTACAATATTATAAGGATGTCTGATAATGAATTCCAGAGGGGGTGTGTGTCTCATGATGCTATTTGTAAACACTTTAGTGCATCATCATGTTGTGTCAACACATCAGTTTTTGTACTGTGATACTATTTACCACTATTACAACTATTAACTAACCTCGAAACCCCCTTGGATTACCCCTGTCTTACAGATAGGGAACCTGAAGCATAAAGCGACTTGCCACAGGTACCCATCTTGCAACCCTTACTTAGGTGAAGTCTAGGGTTACCATTCGTCCGGATTCTCCCGGACATGTCTGGCTTTTCTGAGTTAAAAATTGCGTCTGGGGGGAATTTGTAAATGTCCGGATTTCCCCCCCATTAGGGCCGGCTCCAGGCACCAGCTTCTCAAGCAGGTGCTTGGGGCGGCCGCTCCGGAGAGGGGTGGCACGTCCAGGTATTCGGTGGCAATTCGGCGGACGGTCCCTCACTCCGCCTGGGAGTGAAAGACCTCCCTCCAAATTGCCGCCGCAGATTGCGATTGCGATTGCGGCTTTTTGTTTGTTTGTTTGTTTGTTTTGGCTGCTTGGGGCGGCCAAAACCCCGGAGCCGGCCCTGCCCCCCATGCAGAGCGCGTGCGGCTGACAGGGCAGCCGGCCGGATCGTGCCACTCGCACGGGGCTCCGTCAGCCAGGGCCCCTCCTCCACTTCCCCCTCCTCTCCCCTGCAACTTGAGATCACTCCCCTCCTCTTGCTCTCTCCCTCCCCCTCCCTGCCTTCGCAGATCACCAGACGTTCGCATTGGGCCTCCAGCAGTCTGGAGCTCCTCCCCCACTGCCCAGCGCGCCGCTCAGCAGCACTCTGCGAGGGTGGGAACCGGGCTATGCACTCCGCTGGGGAGTGTGGTAGCATGTCGGGCTCCGCGTGGAGCCCGACACACTGTTCTGAGCGGCACGGTAAGGGGGCCAGGGGGTCGGAGAAGGGGCAAGGAGGTTCTGGAGTGGGCAGTCAAGAGACAGGGAGCAGGGTTGGATGGGTCGGGAGTTCTGGGGGGGGGTCTGTCTGGGGGTGGGGGTGTGGATAAGGTTTTGGGCAGTCAGGGTACAGGTAGGGGGTAGGGTCCCAGGAGGAGGCAGTCAGGGGACAAGGAGCGGGGGGGTGGGGGGGTTAGGGATTCTGAGGGGGGCTGTCAGGGGGCAGGGGTGGGGAGAGGGATCTGAGCAGTCAGGGGACATGGAGCAGAAGGGTTTAGATGGGTCGGGTGTTCTGGG